ATATCCATATGTGAGTTAGACGCCATGTTTTTTTTAAACAGTATTTATTTCGTCGCACTCGAGAAAATCTTATAAAGAAAACGTGCACTCCAGCGAGAGAGAATGTGTGTGTGTGCGTGTGTGGGTTTGTGTGTATGTTTAGGGGCCGACAGCAAAGTTTTATTTGTAAAAAGCATAAAATTACAATTTATGAATAAATTTAACACTAAATATTTTCATTCAACAACAAAAAAAAAAAGTGTATTTTTATGTTTATTGGACATTTCCTGGATTAAATTTCTTTAATTGTGATATTTTATTAAGAATGTTTCCATATTGATCCTATCAGTTTCCATAAAGAAAATATATCCTTATTCTCTAACTATATATGTAAGGCGATCACGTGGTTCTAGCAAAGAGTACATTGTTAAGAATGAAAGGAATAAAGAAGGAGAAAAAAAAAAACAGAAAAGAGAAGACGAAAACAGAACTAAGGAGGAGGAGGAGAATAGGAAAAAGAAAAGTAAAGAGAAATAATATAAAGAGGAGTAAAGAAAAAGAAGAAATGAAAAGTGGAAGAGAAAAAGAAGGTGCAGAAATAAAGAAGAGAATACGGAAAATAAAACGGAGTGTTCAAGTTTCCATCGAAGTAATCTTCTTGAGCTTAAAAAGGGTTGCAACAAAAATCAACATCACCAGATCTCTGGGAAGCATATCGTGGATAGGAAAGAAAATCACTAAGTCCATAGCCTAATACAGCTGTTAGTTCCATTATTATCCGAACATTTCACTCGATAATTTTCGAACCATGTGATTAATAAGAACGCACGTACGTACGTATGTGTGTGTGTGGGGGGTAATGGATATCGGCTTGGATTGTGGAATCGCAGAGCAGAGTTCGAATCCAGGTTGAACCCATTACATTCACTTACGTGCTAATACCCTTGAGAAAGGTGTGAATCCTCTTCTCCCTCCAGCTGTGGGTTAAATAGCAGAACAGACTGGGTTCTATAGCCTCGGATGGCAACTGGTCTAGCAGAAGGACAACTCTGAATACAAAACCTGAGGGGGGTTGTTTGGGGACCTTGTGGCACGTAGTGCACTAGGTCTCTGCATTCGGCCCTTCAAAAAGTGTGGATGGTTCTGCACGAAACCTTCACCACTATAATCAAATCTCATGTGCCGGTGTCGGGCTGTCATTTTCCTGGAAACTGATCTGCTTGACCCTCATACGTGGAACCGACGGGAGAATCGATTTTATATATGTATTATATATATAATATATATATATATATATATATATATATAATATATCTCACACACATTATAAATTAATGGATTTGGTTTTTTTTAATCCAGCATATTTTTATTACTTCCAGCGTTATTTTTAGTGGATACCTCTATTTGGATAGACGCCCCGTTTATTTTAAACAGTATTTATCTCGAAACCTGCCAGAGAGCACTTTCTTTTTAATAAATAAGGTTTCTCGGGTACGCAGGCCGGTAGACGAAATAAATGCTGTTTAAATTAATCGGATATTACTCAAATACGGGTAACGGCTAAAACATTTTTTCAAGTAATTAAAATCTCTTGAATTAATAAAAAAAAAATCTATCCCTTTCTTTAGAAATATATATCTTTCGTTAAATATGACGGATAAAGAAAATTTTGTTAATTTTTACATTTTTTTCCGTTTGGTAAGAGCGAGGGAGTACAAAACTATCACTGCTGTCTATTGTTCCAAGCGCTTTCGGCCACTCCCTTAACCTTTTTCAATGTGGAGGGTAGTTTCTCTTCATGTTTTGACTTTTTTAGATGTATTCTTTGTGTTGTTTTTAATACTAGTAGCACTGTTTATTTAAGTGCGTGGAAGAAAGGAAGATATAGACAGTTTTGTACTCTCTCACTCCCAGCAAACAAAAAATTCATAAAGCTGGAAAAACTAAATAAAAAATTAATAAAATTTTTCATGCCCATCATATGTCGTATTAACCGAAAGATGTTTAAAAGAAAGGTTAAAGCCCATATTATATAATTCAAAAAACAGGTAGCCACGACTATAAGTTCCATACGTTCAAGCGCAATCATCAGTTAGCCATTAATATTGAAGCTCTGTCATTTCTCATGGCATTGTGCACTTTTATACCAGTTGACTACTTTTGAGCAAACTCTTTTTATAGCTGCTCATTGTTTCCTGGATTTATATATATTAAAATATACATATACAAATACCTACGTTTAAGTATGCGACTTAAGTTTCGCTGGTTTTCCATAAAACATACTTTGTGCCCGATGAGCTGGAAAACCAGCGAAACTTACGTCGCACACCCAAAAGTAGGTATTTGTATATTTATTAATATATATCTTTGCTCTGTCTAACCACATCGAGCACTGTTATGTTTACACCTCATGAATAAATTTGATGATTATTTATTTGCTTGCCTGTCTTTGAACGCCAACAAGTTTCACACGTTAATTTCATGCTTCAAGCAATATTCAGACAATGCATACCAGATATATAGTCACTATGAAATGTCTATTTCCATATACACATATCCCATATCTATAAAAGTTATATCTAATACTGAGCACTCTTCGTCCATATATATATATATATATATATATATATATATATATATATATATATATATATATATATGTATTGTCGATTTTGACGTACGAGGACCTGGCAACATTACAAAATGACACTTCAGTCCCGCCAGTGATTTGCATACAAGTCCATATACTGTGCAACAGCGAGGCCCCAGGCTGGTTTGAATTCTGTTTTTTTCCTTCTCCTAGACGGCCGTCACTCAAGGCTATAGAAGCCAGCCTGTCCTATTATTTAGAAGAAGAAATAGATTCTTACCGTTCCCAACGTAATTGAATGTAATGAATTCGACTGAAATTTGAACACTGTTCTCCGATTCATCAGTCCGTGCCTCCCTCTCATATACTATATATATATATATATATATATATATATATATATATATATATATATATATATATATGTGTGTGTGTGTGTGTGTGTGTGTGTGTGTGTGTGTGTGTGTGTGTGTGAGAGAGAGAGAGAGAGAGAGATTGTGATTTACTAAGCGAATTTAGATTGGGCACAAGGCCGAAAGTATATAGCACCCAGTGAGGATCGAACTCGCTACTCAGTTGTAATTGATCTAGCAAGATAAGCTTGCTAACTAGTATACTATGTTGTAGTGCCATATACAGTGTAACCCGGATATAAAAGACCCGGATATAAGAGAGATTTTCTCTGGTCCCAAATTAGAGTCTGTGTTAATGTATATATAAGAGAAACCCGGATATAAGAGACTTCTTCTCCGGTCCCGACAACTCTCTTATATCCGGGTTACACTTGTGTGTGTGTGTGTGTGTGTGTGTGTGTGTAGACACGTGGATAAGAGTATACATGTGCATTAGATTCCAGATTGAAATAGTTTTTTTTTCTGCAAGTTGAAAGTTTAGCATAACATTTCGTCTATGCTTTTGATTAGTGAAGCAGAAAGCAAAAACGAAAACCGCTGACGACTATTTCTCTATTACAGATTCAAAAGATTATATCTTATTCAAGGTTAGCAATAATATTTTCCATCTTTATTTTTAGAAACAAATGCTCTTTTGTTGGCGTTCATAGGAAATAAGAGAAAGTATTGCTATGCAAAGGTAAACAAGAACATTATATAAGGCTATAAATATAAAATTGAGGTTAAGTGAAAAAAAAAAATAACGGGAAATCAATTTTCTGTTTAATGTTTGAGGGTATTCAATTTCATTGACTTATAAGATTTTCACTTTTTATTTTTTTTTGGCGGGGGCATCTGTCGGTTTGGGTCATCAGTTGTTACTGTAATCATTTTGATTACATATGTAATCAGACGAATAAAAATTTGTCAAATTCTTTTTTATGATCATTTGCTCAGAAAAAAAAAATCCACTCAAAAACATTGAAAGGAAACAAGCAATAAAGATTCAGCGATAAGCCTGAAACAGGTTTTGTAAATAAAATACTCCAGGAAGTTGTATCGATGCACACACACACTATATATATATATATATATATATATATATATAATGAACCAAGTGTCAAAATCAAATAAAAACTGTACTAATACAAGGCCTGTCAAATTAAAACAAAAAAAAAAAAACAAACAAACAGTATCTCTATAAATTAAGAGAGCTGTAACAACAACAAACACAGAGAGAGAGAAAGAGAGCAAGGCAGCTGATCTGAAATCGTGACTCCGAGTTTCACGTTAAACAAAATATTCAGAAGAAAATGAGTCATTATTTTCTGAACAGAACTTTAGTGTTAAACTTTCAGTCATTTTTTGAAACAGAACCCCCTAACTCTCTCTCATATATATATATATATATATATATATATATATATATATATATATATAAATAAAGAATGGATTTTTTTAATCCAATTTTTTTTAATTTAAAACGTTATTATTTAGTGGATACACGTATTTGAAACAGGCGCCCTATTTTTATTTTTCTCCTACAAAAGGGATTCGCAGATTCGATCCCTTCCACAGAGTATATTTTCTTTATTGAGATTTCTCAAATGCATAGGCCGCTAGACGTAATGTACCCTGTTCAAAATCAAACTAAGAATGGGACGTCTATTTCAAATACGAATATCCACTAAAATAATAACGCTTGAGGTAATACATGCATATATAAAAATGTTGTTATAATAACTGTCAGATGATCTCACAGATATAAAACCGCTGATCTAGCTGTAGTCGTAAACGTGTAAGCTATCTTCTGTATACAACCGTTTTCTGAATCCATTTTTTAAAAAATGGCTTCAGACGAATTATTCAAATTTTAAAGATAATTCTTTATCGGGCCCTACAGACTGGCGTTAGAAAATCCCAAATGGAGAGCTTTACCAAATAACAACAACCACATCACTTGAACAGCTACAACAGCAACAACGACAAAAATGGGTGGGACATGGAACTACAAGAAAAATAATGATATAATGAAGCTGTTAATTTGAGAAAGAGAGTGTGAGAGAGAGGGCGAAAGAGAGAGTGTGAGAGAGAGGGCGAAAGAGAGAGTGTGAGAGAGAGGGCGAAAGAGAGAGTGTGAGAGAGAGGGCGAAAGAGAGAGAAAAGAGAGGTGAGAAGGAAAAGAGAGAGTGAGAGAGAGGGCGAAAAGAGAGTGAGTGAAGAGAGAGGGCGAAAGAAAGAGAGAGTGTGAGAGAGAGAAGGAAAGAGAGAGTGGAGAGGGGAAAGAGAGAGAGTGTGAGAGAGGGGGAAAGAGAGAAAGCGAAAGAGAGAGTGTGAGAGAGAGGGCGAAAGAGAGAGTGTGAGAGAGAGGGCGAAAGAGAGAGTGTGAGAGAGAGAGAAAGAGAGAGTGTGTGAGAGAGAGAGGGCGAAAGAGTGTGTGAGAGAGAGAGGGCGAAAGAGTGTGTGAGAGAGAGAGGGCGAAACGAAGAGAGTGTGTGTGAGAGAGAGAGAGGGCGAAAGAGAGTGTGTGAGAGAGAGAGAGGGCGAAAGAGTGTGTGTGAGAGAGAGAGAGGGCGAAAGAGAGTGTGAGAAGGACTCCCATCAATATTAGAAACAGCAATGACATTTAATGAACATCCGATTCTAAATCCGGGGACTTCTCAATCCTGTAGGACCCAATCTGTTCTATTATTTACCCATAGCTGGGGGGGGGGATGGATTCATAACTTTCTCAAAAGGTGTTTGCACGTAAGTGAATGTAACGAACTCGACTGGAATTCAATCTCCGCAGTTATCCATGAACACGCGAAGTATTATTATTTTTATTTTTAAATCAATTCATCCTAAGCAAGGCGATAATGCCACTAAGACTCAAAGGGTTGCTGGGAGTGACAGAGAATGAGAAGACTTTAGAAGGAACCGGAAACCCAATCCTAAACAAGGCATAAACCTCTACTCCTATTTAAAAGGAAGGGATGATTGCAAAGACCGAGGGGAGAGGAGGAAGTTTTCAATATATATATATATATATATATATATATATATATATATATATATATATATATATAAATGGTTTTAAGAAAGATTTCATACATTTATTTCGAGAGTAATGTTAACTCTTCGGTCAATAAATACCGAATGTTTTCTGTATGAAAACGGCTATCTCATAAATAACTATATATTATTATATTCAGTTTTACAAAGGGTGACTCGCAGTGCTGTATCGGCTAGCAAATTAGCCTCAGTTAACATTATTTAGCGAGTTCGAGCTATGTACTATACTGACATTTTGCCAAATTAAACTTAATATAATTTTAGGTGTCTAGCCGTGGTATACTGGTTAACGAGCTACTACAATGATATCGAGCCTCAATGGGAGCTCCAGACTTGCGCCATATTGTTAATATCTATATTTGCACAGACAGAAAATGAATATTTAATTGTGGTTTGTCACGTGATAGTTAGGCGCTCACCATCTGTAGAAGGTTGCTGTCGATCTCAAATAAAACTATAGATTTCAAGTTCTGATGTAATCTTCTCATGGCGAAACAGAAGCATCCTCACCCAATTCCCCTCGCGTTTATTAAGCTTAGATAAGTTGACACATCAGTGAAGGAGGAGAATCGAGAACATTAAATAGAAAATTAGCTCTACAGGAGGTGGCCACAGCAAATACAATCTAGAGATTCGGAACACTTTGGTATGGAGGGGGGTGGAACTGTTGATTCTTTTTTAAGCCGATCGATGGACCAGCTTCGTGCCAGTAGCTTTGAAAAAAAAAAAATTATGCTTCTAAAATGTCCAACCTACTGCAAATATGCTCAATCCTATATGGGTACATACTAAAATATCGTGTTTCCCCATCCTGTTTGAGTTGGAATAATAATAATATATATATATATATATATATATATATATATATGTGTGTGTGTGTGTGTGTGTGTGTGCGTGTAAGAGAGAGAGAGTGGGAAGTGATACATATTTTTCTAGCACAAATTAGAACTTCTAGCAATTCCATACACTACAACTTAGAACACAAACACAGGAAAAGTTTAACAAAGAACCCCTTGAAAATAGCTAATGAATTCACCGAAGGCTCTTGAAAAAATAATCATTATAAATATTTTTTCAATATCACAGCCGCCCCTCCACCTACCCTACCTGGAAAATGTAAGAACTTTAGAAAATTTTTATAAAAAAAAATTATAAAGTTTTTTCTTTGTTCAGTGAAACCTGTATAACAGAAAGTTTGCTATCCAAATTATACAATAACAATACCTTTATTTTTCAGCCGATATTATTTCTTACTTCTATAAACGTTATATAGTGGGTACACGATTTGAGTAGAGATACATCCACTTTTTTAAAACCGTGAAATTAATGTCTAGTGGCCTAGAGATCGAAAGGTTTATTAAAGAAAATATGGCTCCTGACGTAAAATCTTCATTCATCAGAAGCTGAAAATATAACATGAAGCTAACCGTCCCTGTATTTTCACCGTTTCTGGATGTAAAATTCTAACCGGTGTTTGTTGTATTTTATCCCCATTCCTTATAAACATGTAAGAATCCATTAATAAAAACCGGTATTAGTCTGAGGAAGTCGTGTCGAGAGATGAAACGCGTAACTTTTGGTTTATTTTACGACATATCAACTTCAATGTGTTATTTAATGCCGACAAGATTTTTATTGCTGGTAATATTTTATTTTCAAAATTTACTGCTGGTAATAATTTTTTTCTTCAAAAATTCGTTGCTGGTAATAAGCTTTTACAAAAAAAAAATGTATTGCTGGTATTAAAACCTATTTTTACACTTTCATAGTGTTTTGACCCCAGTTTGGGGGTTAGCTATTTGCCCATAGCTAGGACCCTAACTGGTGCTACCACCCCGGGTCAGGGTGGACCTGTGAACACCAGCAATTAAGATGTGGTTCTACTCTCCTTAAAACGTCCTGATCAGAGGCTTGCTGTTGGATGGACTTTACGCGTAACATGTTGGATTATTAAAAAAATCCTATCATTAAATTATCCACTATTTGATATATAGGTTTGTGGAGTGCACACACACTATATATATATGACGCGTGGGTTTGCCAATGAACATTTAAAAGCCTCTATTAAAAATGCCATAAAGACACTTCATGATACTTCAAGTGGCACGTGAATAAAGAATCAAATTAATTAATAATTATTTACTTTTGATAAATGAAACTAACAAAGATTCCATGAGAAGCATCTTGGGGTATGCGGAGGTGGCAGTGATAATTATGTGGTGACCACCAACGCCAGTGGTTGGTATTCAAACACAGACTAAAAAACAAAAAAAAAATCATTATAGTTCTTTTCACCTGGACGTTGAACACAACACAATTTACTCTCATTTGAGGAGGAAATATCAAGTAACGCAAAGATTTATTAATGCAATGGTAATATTAGCCGTTTCCTTATAAGGAAACATTCGGCATTCATTGCTCGAGCCGCTAGTGATACCTTCGTTTCAATTTTTTTTTTTTTTTTTTTTTTAAATATTTCTCTTAAAACAATTTTTCCTGGAAAATAGGTTTCTCTTGTCCAGGAACTGTTATAGCTCTTTCCAGTATTTTTTCTTCCTTGTGAGATAATCAAGATGTTGACGTTACACACTATGTCATTTCATTCCCGAGTTACATATTATATTCATTTTCGTTGTTGTTCCTTTTGAAAGTCCTTATGTGATGGGGTTTCTCTTATTTGGTACAGTTCTTTGTAATTTGGTAGCCCCAATTCACAAAACTACGTAATGCTTAACAAGTTTCTCATTAAATCCCCCCTCTCTCTCTCTACCAAAATAAATAAAATAATAAACAATAACAAAAGAGTTAAAAAAAATGTAATCACATTATTCATAACATAGAAGATCGTCGGGTAACATTCTAGATCCTTCAGATATTTGTTGGGCTGTGTTGGTTTTGCTTGGCAGCGACCATTCCACATGTAACACACGTTGCATGATCCAAGTTTTATGTCAAAATTTATGACCTTATTGGGCGAAATAGATTCATGCTTTTCTCATAGGCATTAATATGGTGATTTACTAAGCGTATCTGAGTTGTAACACAAGGTCGAAAGTATGGGGCACCCAGTGAGGATCGAATTCACGAATAATTGATCTAGTGAGACAAGCTTGCTAACCATTACACCACTTTGCCCATAGGCATTAATATGATGTAAATACAAACTACATTTGAAATTTGAATGCAGTTGCCGGATCCATTTTTCCCTGTGGCTAACTGTTAAGCCAACTCTGAAACCCCTAAACAACAACCGGCAACAAGGCTTCTGATTCTGAAGTTTTGAGGATCTTGGAACCATCTCTTGTGTTGTCTTCAGGTCCACCCAGAACCGGAGTGGTAGCACCTGTTATGATTCCAGTCATGGGCAAATACTTAACCACCAAACTGGGGTCAAAACACAATGAAAGTATAAACAGTTTTATAGCAAAAATAACAGCAATGAAAAAATATTACTAGCAATGCATTTTTGAAAAACAAAAATACCAGTAACACATTTTCTTATGAATAATCAAGAGTGGTCTCCCTTTATTTTGTCACTCTCCTTTTTGAGAGAGCTATTTCTGTTTACTGGGACTATAAAAGGACACTTTACGTAAACCTTGTATTCTCAATGGAATATAGTTGGCATTGCTTTTCCTGGGTTGAACACTGACAACCCATCCTGAAATTAGGGTAGCTTAGCTTTAGTTTTGAATCTTTAGTTTCTTTTTTTCATTTAACTTAGTTAGGACATGTATGCTCACTGGCCCCCTTTTTCTCTGTCCCTATTTTTCTTTAAGTTAAGTTCCCCATTCCCCTGCCTCGTTAGGTGGTCGGTGATGTTAGTTCTCTCGTGGATGCGAGGCGACATTCGTTTCGTGTGTACGTTTTCGTATTTGTTGTTGTGTCTGAATGAGTGTATGTCTGTGTGAATGAATGTTTTATGTTATTATAGTCCCGCATTAATTTCACCCAGTTAACTGATGTTTCTGCAATATTTAGTGATTGCGGGTAGTTTTATTTCATATTGTAAATACTCATTGGGGATAATTTTTAAAATTGTTGTTTTATTCCCTCCCCACCCACAGACGATGAATTGTACATATGGGGACCAGTTAGTGTTTTCATTGATACATTGAGTTATTATGGTGGATGTGGTGAGAAAGGTACGTAAGAATATGTTGTTTTGGTGTAAGGAATATTGTTTGTATGATTGGGTGAACGTTTGTGGCTAGCTAAGTTTAGAGTTAAGACAGACGAAGACCATCCATTGCCCCATTCCTCCCTTTTTTGAGTCTTGTGTCACATTTTCTGGATAAAAACAGAAATAAATATCCTCAGTTGAATAAAGCTTTCTTAAAGCCTACAACTGCATACTTTTGTCATTTCACATTTGTCAAAAAAAAAAAAAAAAAAAAAAATTTACTAATGCTTCCAAGAATATTTAATTTCGGCTTTAATTGACACTTTAAAGGAGTTTATATGCCGCTAAACAAACAAGAAACTCCTAACCAAACAAAAATATCGACCAAGAATTATTTTCTTAAAATCAATGAAAACTTCCAATTATTTCTATCCAACTGATATTGTCTTAAAGTTTCCAACTCTTCGGACGTATGAAGAATGAAATTAATATGCATCTTCATGGTAAGTGAGAAGGATCTGCAATTGCTATCCGTGCCAATAGTCTAGATAACCCGAAGATTTACGAATCAATCTTTAAAGAAAAGAGGACCTGTCTCGAAAATCCGGATTTTAGATAAAAACTTAAGAAAAGCTATAGATTAAATTTAAAAATTCCAGAATGGCAATGAGTGGGTTGGGAGCAGCCTACGAACGCAAACATGGACGCTCAAGACCAAACATTCATTTGTTTCTGTATGAAATTCAAAGACAAGGAATTATTTACATTTGGACTGTGGTCCTTATATTTGACTTTATTGTCGTTCTGTTTCGGCCGTTGGGTCCTCCAGCATCCATCAGGAGTTTGTTGTTCTATGTAAACTTCAGGGAATTTCGAACTGAACCCTTTACTTGTTCTTCCGTCCATATCTAAGGATATTTTTTTTTTTATTAGTTCTGAAATATAATCGCTCTCCCTCGGTCTCGGTCTGTACTACCCAGCTCAGGGATAGAACCCACAATTACTATACTACTAAATTCAGGAATAAACGCTTTAATCCACTAAGCTATTGTCCAGCGTCACTTTTGTCTAAAAGAAATTTACCAAAATCTCTTGTTTAATCCTTATTCTTCTATGATTATCTCGAAAATTGTTGGATTGAAAAGAATGAAAAGGACTTAAAATGATTACAAATCTTCCCCTTATGGTACTAATAAATTTGTATTTGAATAAGATAAGACAGATAAATTCTAGACATACAAGTTTTGCTTTGTATCTTCATTTAAAATCAAACCTTCCTTCGTATCAATACGAAAAATGCAAAATTGTCCATTATTTAATCCCCACCATTTTTAATACCATGTCCTTGCAGGACGTGGGTTTTCACAGATTCGTTTTATTCTATTGCCATTACTTTCCCTGGAAAAGTTAGTGGAATAATTTCCTGTTGTCTTATCTAGGGATTTGAATTCAGATATATCTTTCCCGTAGACTGGCTTCAACACAAGCCTGGTGAGGCCAGCCTACCTTGATATTTAACACACTGTCGGGGACTGGGATGTAGAAGTAACGTATTCAGACCTTTTCCAAGGGCAATCATCAGATAGTGAATACAACACAAACCGGAATTGTACTCGGCTCGCCGGTTCAACATTCCACGCCGATAACCATTGCGCTTTCATTTAATCCTTGCCAATTAAAGATGAAATAATGTCGTCTGATCAACATGAAAATTCACTTTACACTACTGATAGAGCAGGTAAATACCCTTCGGTAGTATCAAAATTAATAAATAAAAATATGAAGTTTTGCTCAAAATATTTCTTTAGAAAAAAAAAAAATTATTCACAGTAAAGCAATCATATTTAGTAGGGAATTTTTTTTTTTTTTTTTTTACAGTCAGGTATTTTTATTCGAATATTTTTAATGAAAACATTGTGACGACTAATAATAGTGATAACGTGTGGTCTGGTGTGATATTGAGTGCAAAGTCTATTCTGACATCATCTGGGCTGAGTGACACACTGTGCTATGAAAAGACTCGGTTTCAATCCAACTGTTGCCTATAACTTCCAAAAGATCCTTTGTTGATTCAGATTCTGTTCTAATACTTCGTGTACAAAACTTATACCAAAAAATCGTAAATTCTTGAATCGACGATCAGGAATTGAAATACTGAATTCCTTGTAACAACAGCAAAAGAAAAATCCTCAAAAAGGCTAACAGCATAGCCGAAATATTGAGAACCAACAAATATTTGTACAATTTTTATATTCATTATCCAGAAAAAGACACTTTTGCTTATACAAGAAAAACAATGACAAAAAAAAAGAAATAGAACTAAAAAGAAATGTCTCAAAAGCACAACTAATATATATATATATATATATATATATATATATATGTTCCCAAATATAATGGGAATGATATTCGTAGTGAAGAAAGGGTCAGTTAAAAGTCTTGATTGAACAGAGAGATTATGAGAGAATCTAAAATTATTTTTGTAAGAAAGTTGAGTACAGTGTAATCCGGATATAAGAGAATTGTCGGGACCGGAGAAGAAGTCTCTTATATCCGGGTTTGGTCTATTTTGTTTACATTAACACAGGCTCTAATTTGGGACCAGAAAAAATCTCTTATATCCGGGTTACACTGTAATATTACTATGATAATCCTTGCAAATACCTGTTCGTATATTATCAGTACTATAAACTCATGCAATAAAATTACAAAGACATTTGTTTTATGACAGAGTCCGAAAACAATGGTGCATTAACTTTCAATTCAATCGATGTTGTAGACAATTATTACTATTATTAATATTTATTTATTTATTTTACTTGTATTTTTTTTTAATACAGTTCTTGAAACACACCCACCCGCTTTATTTACGTGGTTAGGAGTACACCTTGATTTTCTTTTTTTCGCGAGTCACGTGCTAACACCCCCGCGAAAATTCTGTGAAATTCCGCGAATAACAAAAACAATTCCCAGATGCGTTCTATACATTTCTAAATACTTACACAACCATTACAATTAACTACCAATGCTTTTAAAAGTATTTTCAATTTAATTCTAAGTATTTTTATTTATTTATTGAAAGTCTCATATTTCATACGAAAGACTTTTCGTGGGTCGTTCTGGTGATGTATTGGCCTTGTTTGAATGTATTTCGTATATATGGAATTTTGTTTGATATTATCAGCCCATAACGGAATTAATAATAATTAAAAACAAATCATATGCCAGATACAACGCAATAAGCTTAAACAAAAACAATAAAATGTTTGAGAGAAATTATTGTATATCTTAAAGAACATATAAGTATACAGAGATAAATGTTTGTGTATATCCGTTCGTGGTAACCTGTTCTATCAGAAAACTGTCCCGGACATCTGTCTCCTTTGACCGTCGAAAACTAAGAAAGAGAAAAATTTGATTTTTATTTCAATTGGCAGTAATCCGCTTGTTCTGATGCATCATGGGAGTATTCTATATTTATTTAACTATCATTTATAATCTATTTTTTCTTTCTTTGTTGTTAATTACCACATTTATCTGTATTTTTATTGCTTAACCATTTTTTCTTTTATTATTATTTTGGTTCCAGACTAATACATATTTTACTAATATAGGAGGTTATTTAGTAATTTATTTGTTGCTACGGTGGAGTAAAGGATAACGGCTCGGATTGAGGATTCGGAGAGCCGAGTTCGAATTCCACTCGAATCCATTACATTCACTTACGTGCTAATACCCTTGGGAAAAGTATGAATCCTCCTCTTCTCCCCACAGCTATGGTTAAATAGAAGGGCAGGCCGAGTTCTCTAGCCTTGGATGGCAACTGGTTTACCGGAGAAAGAAATGGCAACCTACTGTGGGAAAAAAATTTGCCTCGTCAGCGTGTATCACGCATCGTGCATAACTGATCACTGAAGACCTTTTTGACATTCATCTCGAATCGAAATACTTTTCTTTTAGTAATTTGTAGCATGTCACTAGACACCTTTCGCTTTTCGGTCCACCAGTATTAATATAAGCAGAATAATAACGCTATCATTATTTTTGTATTTTAAGAATAAAGTGGCGTTGTGCAGACGCACAACGCATTACTACGGCGGCCTGACTCGGACAGTTTATTATGAAACTAAAAACGCACGTGTGATATCACTACGCGGGTGAATCAGCTAAAGTTTTCTTAGGCGAGAAATTTGGCAAGCAATCGCGGAAACATGAATACGCTAATACGGAGATAGGGCACCATTAAAAAATGCTAATAATTTAAATTACAAAGAGGTTTTGAGATTTACTTGTAAGTATTCCAAACTGTTACTGTACACAAGAAAGAAATTTAGACGAGGCCAAAACGATGAGAAAGTGCAGTGGGTGGGTACTTCGAAGTCCATGTGTATTTAGCGGGTGGGGCGAGTTGATTCCAAAAATGGCGCTAACTTTACAGGCGGGTAATAGGGAGTGAGACTATCATCTGCGCTTAAGAGAAAGCGATCGGCCAACTTTTTTTTTCTCATTTTTTTCTTATTTGTGAGATGGGATTAGAGAAAACATTTTAAATAAACCAGTGAGTCAGCGCTCTTTATTCAAGATGTTTGTCCAAAGTTTCCGATAGTGAAGAAAGAAAACTTGTTTTGTTGTTTCCTTACAAAGAATAGTAAAAATTAACGCAAAAGATACGAGAGTAAGAAAGGGCTGGTTATCAAAGACTGGATATTGACTTAAGACGGAATAATTCTTCTTTTTAGATATATTTTGTATATTAACCAGAGGAGAGGAGTGTAAGCGATGGTGACAGGTAATGGAAGTAAAGAAAAGTAAGTAATGATTACTAAGGAAGGAGAGTTTGATCCCTAAAAGAGGTTTAGGTTATATATATATATATATATATATATATATATATTACATGAATCATTTATACAAAAAGATTAGTAAAGTTAATGATGGCGAAAAACATCTTCGCAAACAGTTTTATATCATTAAATTTACTAATCTACTTTTTTTGTATAAATGAATCATGTAATAAAATTGAACTGATCCATATATATATATATATATATATATATATATATATATATATATATATATATATATATATATATATAAGAGAGAGAGAGTGAGGATTCGGAGATCCGAGTTCAAATCCCAGTCCAATCCATTGCATTCACTTACGTGCTAATACCTTTGGGAAAGGTATTAATCCTCTTCTTTTCCCGCTAGCTAAGTAAATAGCAGGAAAGACCAGGTTCTATAGCCCTAGATGGCAACTGGTCAAGGAGAAGGACGACTCTTAATTCAAAACCTACGGAAGGTCGTTTGGGTACCTTGTGGTACGTAGTGCACCAAGTCTCTGCAATCGGATTTTCAAAAAGTGTGGCTCACGAAGCCTTCACCACTATAATCAAATCATATGTCCTGGTGTCTGGCTGTCGGTTCTTGGGAACTGAGCTACTCGACTCTCATACGTCGAATACGACGGGAGAGTCCACCATGTGTGTGTGTGTGTGTGTGTGTGTGTGTGTGTGATAGCGCATTAATAATTACAACAGACTGCTCTCGGGGAATATAACGATATGATCAATAAATCTGGAATTTGACACATTTATCGTCTGGAATTTATCTGAGATTTACCCTGTATAATGCTCGACCAATGGCATTAATACTGAATACTCTATTAAGTGCGATAGCAGAGACTATTGCAAAAGAGGTAATGTGTAAAACAATTTAAGTATAGACTTAAATACAAGGTGCGATGGATAAATTATCGACTATATTACGCAAAAGTGAAAAAAAACACTGACATCTAATTTCAACAGATATATTTACATGTAATAATCAGAGGGTTGCAGTCTGGGAAGTTAGGTGGCAAGATGTAAGAGATGATGGAGTTGCAGAAATTATCTGATAGCCACGAGTAGTTTCTGCGGCTTGTGTGGCATGTTGCAGAAACCTGTTGGTAGATACAGGGACTTCTATCAGTCAACTTCTTGACCCAGGGCAGCACTACATCCTCAAGGCACTTGATGTAAGCCTCTGTGTTGAGTCTGAAGCACTCAACACCATATTCCGGAGTTTTTTTTATCAGAACGATTCCGATCAGCCGTCCCTTCGTAATCACCAAGAAACTCATCCAACTCCTTCCAAATCTTTTGCAGTGTCCTCACATTAGCACCCAAATACTCTGAAATGATCGTATTGGAACTTCCGGCGGAGGAAATTGCGCCATGGTGCTATTTTCTCGCAGACGGTGCCAAACTGACCCTACTATACTGCGCAGTCGACAAAAATCAAAAACAAATAAAGCGCATGCGCTTTATTAAAAATATAAAATGGCGATAATTTACCCATCAATCCCTGTACGTATATATATTTTTTTTTCTCCTCCCGATGATGGCCATTTTGGTCGAAACATCTAAATGGAATAATAATAAAAAAACGAAAGAATATTAATCTACAACCCAGTGTGTCTAAAGATTTTAATTTTTTAATTGTTCAATATATATATATATATATATATATATATATATATATATATATATATATATATATATATATATGTGTGTGTGTGTATGTGTGCGTGTGTATAAGTGCATGTATATTTGAGCATGAATTTAAGATAGGGATTAAAACCCACGAAGTGATTAAATACGGAACAAGTAGGATCCCAAGGTTTTTGATGAAATAAATAGCGAAACCCCCCTATGGAAACATATACCCATATATTAACCGTGTGAAAAGGCTACCAGGACATTTATTTATTGAATATTAGAAATTAAATACACGTTTGAAAAACAGTTTTCAGTGGAAATGTTTGCACACAACTAACATGTTGTTTGACATTTGATAAAATCATTTCTGTTGACACTTAAGAGGTTTACACGCATAGAAATGAATGCTTAAATATTATGCATCAATGAAGCACGTCGGACATTGAAAATAAGATTTAAACAGCATAATTTTAAATTTAATATTTAAAGAGTCTGGTTTTAAAAGTAAGATGTACTCTTTTACCGACCTAATCGTAGTTTAATGTGATATTAATTCAAATGCAAGAAGATGTATCGCGCCAATGTTCTAAGTAGGTTTTGCCTCCTTCGAGAATCAGTATTTGAAGTCATTGTCGAACATTGGCTCTTAGCACTGATTGGAAATGGGTACCAATTTCAGATACGAGATTGTCTATGGTGATCTGTTTACATAGAGAAGATATGTTTGTTAGTGTATTTAAACTATTTTGATTATGTAAAGGAAAATAGATGTTAATATGAAGGCATCGCTACAGGAAAGATTCACATAACGAACACAGTAAACGTCCTTTGGTGTTTACAACTTTGAATTCAGTTCAAATAAGACTTGCGCAAAAACGTCTTAAAAAAAATATATATATATATATAAAAAAAAATAACATTTTGGTATCCGTGTTAGATAGATTACTGCAGATGGTGAATCCGCGGATAATAACGAACCATCTGAGTATATCCTGAAGTTTTTATCGTAAGCCCATTTCCTACCTGTTAGGCGATAATTCAAGTGAAAAAAAAAAAAGAAAGAAAAAAAGAGCTTATATTATTAATTACCACTTTCAGCCTCAGGGACCTGGCGTATAAATTAAATTGAATACTTATATTTGTAAAAATGTTAATAATATAAAAGAAAATAGTTACTTTATATCGGTATCATATAGTGATTTTCTAAGCATAGCACAAGATGTGAGACAAGGCCGAAAGTATGGGGCACCCAGTGAGGATCGATCTCACTATTCAGACGTAATTGATTTAGCGAGACAAGCTTGCTAACCATTACACCGCCTCGAGGTGTCCATATCGTTATCATATATAGCAGAAAAAATAATGTCTGTTAAGCATTCTGGTGTGGTTCTTCTGGTGTCAAATAAGCCGTTTAGTATCGAATGGACACTTGCAAAAGTAACATGCCGAAATTGTGTGTTATGTTTAAAAGTTTCCATCAGACATTAAATAATTTATTCGACACTAAGAAAAACTCATCAAAACGCTTAACAGACCTCCATTGTCCGTTTGCTTTAATAAGGTGTGTTTAAACGGATGTTTCTGCCTAAATAACTGCCCACTCGATTAGACGAATAACCTTCTCTGCACAGTAACTACGCATCTGTTACAACTGACTGCTAATGGGATTTAAAATTAAAATGATTTTATATATGTGAACACATAACTTAATATAACACACACACACACACATATATATATCAGTCAGTTATGTGCCATGCGTGATACAAGCTTAGACAATCATGTAACTTTCGATACATGACTGACGAGGCAGATTTTTTTCCCCGCAGTTGGTTGTCATTTTTTTCTGCGGCAGACCAGTTAACATCCAAGGCTTTAGAACCCTGCTATTTCCCCACAGCTGGGTTGGGGGTGGGGTGGGGGGATTTGAGAAGCAGACGATTCATGCACACGTAAGTTAATGTAATGGATTTCACTGGAATTCTCCGATCCCTCAATCCGAGCCGCTATCCATTACTCGATCCTAATGCAATAGGACAATTTAAAAGAACCTATTAAATGCTTTTATATATATATATATATATATATATATATATATATATATATATATATATATATATATATATCCCAAAAATATATACACTTTAAAAAATATAAACTAAAGGGTGTAGACATTTTTGGGGGACACCAAATATATTTATATTTTTTAAAGTGTGTATATATTTTTGGGACACCATATATATATATATATATATATATATATATATATATATATATATATATATATATATATATATATGTGGTATATAGTATATATATATATATATATATATAAATTTAATGTTTATATGTGTATATTAAAAAGGACCGATAAGGGCCGTGTATTTTTATTTTATTTTATAATATCAAATCGTTGTGTGTTGTCATCAACATTTAGCATAATCTATCCGAAATTCACTTTCTTTTTCTTTGTTTTATTCAAGTACATTCGGCTGTCTCAGTCATTTTCAAGAACCGATGATAGTCAAAAGTACTTAGACAAAACAACAACCCAACGTGAACTTCGGACAGTTTATCCACAATTTTAATCCCGATATACAACACCTTTCTCGAAAATAAGAAAAATGCAATAAAAATTTATGACATATCGTGTCGTTCAAACTTATTTAGACGAATACTTGCTGCCTAAATATACCTTATTGACTTGATTTCGTAAGGGTAGCTTACTTATGGCGCAAACCTTAATCTCGTGGAGCACTCAGTGAGGATTGAACCCATTACTATTTCGTAATTAATCTAGCGATACAAACTTCTTAAGTATTACACCATGTCGAAGTTTCCAAGAAATATGTCTAATGTATGTACAGCTATATGCGAGTATTTTTTTTTTCTTAAAAGGCTATTGATTCACTGTTAAGAAAGCTTATTTCACAATTCTGACAAAGAAATTTTTAAGCATCGATACACCTAAAAACATAACGCCATGTGTAACGCACTTTATCATACTTTCTTCAGAAAATAGTCCCCCCCCCCTTACGTCATCCCCACCACTGCTAGTCCAATATTTTTTTTTTTGTCAAGGGAGGCAAACAGAAATGAGGAGAAAAAAGGAGCATTTTTTTCTTTTTTTTTTAAGTAAATTTCTTCATAATAAAGAATAGAAATTTCAGGCATCTGCATAAACATCTTCAACGCTTGCTTGAATTTTTTTTTATGAAAAGGAAGATTATATATATATTTCTTACAAACATTTTGTACAAACAAGTTGAAAAAAGTTCTTTCGTTTTGTAAGAAAGGGAAACAGTATGTGTATCTTGATCATTAAAATTGCTAGCCATTAAAAAAATAGATATGGTTTGTTTTGA